GATTGAGACTGATCTGTCCACATGAGTGTGTGTGTGTGTGTGTGTGTGTGTGTGTGTGTGTGTGTACAGACAGGAAGTGTTCTTACTCTGTCTGTCCAGATCAAACTCTTCAGAGAGCAGATGATAGCAGCAGCCCACACTGCAAACGGCGCGCAGCTCCTGTTTGGCCCTGAAAATCCTCAGAGTGCTGGGGGCCAAATCTCCACAGGTATGCAGCCCAACCAGAACTGCATCCTGGGTACCAGCCAGAGAAAAGAGAGAGGGAGAAAGAAAAAAAAATGGGGTAATTTAGTGAAATCAACACAGACCGTTTGCCATCTCTCATTGATCATAAATAATTTGCTATGGACACATCCAAGTCCCTCTCCATTCTTGAGCTCAATTTCACCTAATTAACATGATTAGAATAATCGCAGGCGTCTCGCTGAGCTGTAATAGCAATGGTACAACTTCAGCTCTATAATCAGAGCCAACAGCTGGACAACTATTGCAGCATAGTGCTATTATATGAGTTTAGTATACATCAATTATTTAATCCTGAGAGAATGTCATATGAAATTAATTCACAGTGCATTTACGAGAAAAAAAGTAATGCTTCAAATAGAATAGAAAATACATCTTCAGCACCCACTTAGTATTTTAAGCACGATATTATATAATGATATGATATTATAAAAAACAACAATGTAAAAAATGTGTTCATTAATTATAATGATAATTAGTATAATTGTAATTATAACAATAATACCAATAATGTTTATATATTAAAATATTAGTAGTAGTAGTAGTCATTAAAATTATTATTACAATTACATTTTAATAATAATAATAATAATAATACAGTAATTACTATTATTATTAATGTTGTTTTCATTGTTGCTATTTATTATCTCCCTTTGTTATTTATTTCACAATGAATAATAAATTATTATTATTATTATTATTATTATTACTACTACTACTATTGTTATTATTTTAACAAAATTTACTTAAACATTTTAAATTATTATTATAATTATTATTATTATTTAAAAATTAAATTACTGATTTTATAAAACCATACTGTTGTACATTTTGTACACACATTTTCTGCCTTGGTACTTTATTTTAGAATTAGAATTTTAGAATTATTATTTGAGAATTATTATTAGAATTATTAACATGTATTTATTTAAACATTACTTATTTTACATATTTGCACTATTTTTCTAAAAATAATTCTAAAATGTATTACTAATTATTTCATAGTGAATAAATAATAATTATTATTTTTAAACAATTAAATAATTGGTTTAATAAATTTAAATAATAATAAGAAGAAGATTAACAATTATTATTATTATTATTGTTATTCTTACTATTATTATTATTATTTATTTATTCTCCCTTGGACAAAACCATCATCCCTTCACCTCCAGCTCTGTGATCAGCATCTTGAGCTCAGTTTCTGCAGTGACATATGAGGTCAGAGGGGAAAACTGGCTGTCGTCTCTGATGTTCCTGCTTCCTTCTCGAGCTTTCCTCTCCAGATTCTCTCTCTTCCTCTTCCTTTCCTCCAGGCTCAGCTGGCTGGGGTGGACGCGGGGAGAGACATCCTCTATGACGTCCAGAGACAGCCTACTGAGGAAGCTGCATCCTGAATCTGAATCATTCAGGTCTAATGGACATTCTGCAGCATTATTTGAAGCAGATAAATCATTGGTGACTTGTTTTGATAAAGCACTGGTATCCGCTCGAGCCTCAAAGCTTTCCTTTTTCTCAGTAATAAAGTTTTTGATGCCATCACTGTTTTCAGTTTCTGCTGTGTTGTATACTCTCATCCTCAGTGTCCAAAGTTTGCTTCCTAGAGGCTTTGTTCGGTGTGTTCTGATAAGCTTTGGAGAACTTCTTCAGTTTCCTGTTTCTCTCCTGAGCTCCATGTGTGTCTGTGCTGGAGGAGTCGATCCCGAACACCTGTAGGTTAAACCGCACGGACAGATAGGAGCACAGGTAGCCTTTCCCTGAACCAACGTCTATCACCTGAGAAGCAGAAACAGATGATCAAAAAGACTCAATTCAGTTTGTTTTTAATGACATTTTTACCTGTTTGACTTGGCAGCATTTGGCCAAACTAGCCACAACCTCAGACATTGCCTGCACCTCATGGGCCTTCTTACAATTCATAAACTCATCCGGTGCAACTACTTTGTCTGATGACTCTCCTATGGGAATTACAGACAATGCATGAAATATGACCTTCTAATAACCTGAATGTGACATGCATAATAATCACAATAAAGATCCAGTGGAATGTAAATGTGATTTTCAGTGCTTCTGATAATCTGACTGCAGTTACCTGCTATAATGTCTCCAGTCCTCCATCTCAGATTCTGCATCAGATCTTCCAGCTGCATACAGACCCCCAGACCTGGTAAACAGTGGGCTTTCGCTACCCTCAGCAGGGCTGATATGTCCAACTTCTTTGAGACATTGCAGAAACCAAAAGTAGTGTTTTCCTTCTCTAAAAACTTATATAGATATATAGATATATATATATATATCTTAGTTTTTTTTTTTTTATGCAAATCAGATTGAGAGCATTGCCTTCTATCGCCCCCATGCGGTCTTGTGTGGAACTGAGAGCACACAACACTTCCTCTGGACTCACACACATGAACGTGCTGCAAACATCACGCGTGTAAAAGTCCACAGTGTGCGCATTTGAGATACTTAATGATATGGAGAGAAAGCGCTTAACTTCATCTATTTTTCTTTTTAAAGTGTCGATGGGTATCTCATTAAATGCCATTGTTCACGGGCACAGAAAAGTGAGAATATTTAGTGAGAGCAGCAGCTGTTGACAGTATTTAAGACATAAGTAGTCAAATCAGGATATGATTCCTCTGAGGGACCGACTGCGCGGCCATGTTGAGTGTACCAGTTGCGTTTTGTTGAATGGGCGAATCGAAAATGTTGCCCTCGTACAAATGGCGTTTATTTTGATTAGTAATGCCTTGCGACCCATCCTTACGTCATTATTGTGCGTCTTTACACGAGAAACAAACAACGGTTTTGTCCACATATTAGCAGATGTTAAGTTAACGTGAAACATGGCACCTTTAAAACAAAACGCAAAAACCAAAGGTCCGATTAAAGAAAGATACTTCAATAACACATTTGCACATGGTGGTTTAACACACAACGCCAAAACGAGAAGAAAATGGGTTCCAGAGAACAAAGTTTCTGATGGTAGTTTAAAAGAGGGTGAGTAGTTCACTTTAAACATAGCCACTTAAAAAACAATATTTAAGAAAATGTATTTTAGATGTAGAAAGTTCACAATGAATAAACAAATCTGACATAAGGGTCAATGAAAAATAAAGACGTCCGAGATGAGAAAAATCTGTGTAAAACGCACGTGCCTAGTTCTTAGATATGTATCGTTGCTTTAACCTTGGTTACATTTTTGAAAACGTTTATATCATGTTATACAAAAAAAAGTTAACTTGCGTATTTTTTTTATATAAATTGCCGTTATAGATCCAGAAAAAAAATGAGCGTCATGACATCGACCAATATATACAACAAATAGTTAACTAGGACTAAATGTAGAGTGTGTACTGTTTGAATCTCAACTCCCTCTCATTCTTTCTCAGGTCAGGGATTTGCCTTCAAAAGGATGGAGAAGATAAAACATGAATATAACAAACTTCTCAGAAAGGAGAGGAAGAAAATGCAACCATCACTAATCCAGTTAGAGGAGGAATATCCCGAGCATCTGAGGCATCTATACCTGGCTGAAAGAGAACGACTAGATGAAGAACAAGAAAAAAGAAGAAAAGATGTAAAGGGAGAGCAGTAGATGAAGAGACAGAGGCAGACAATGAACTAAACATGGTGTTGGATTCACCTTTCACTGAGAAACACATCTCAAACACAACGATTGACCAAACTACCGTCCCTGATTCAGCTAATGAACCAGCAGAGTCTGACAGGTACAGTAACAGCTAGTAGTAAAAAAAAATATATATATATATATATACACACAAAGCCACATTCCTGATTTGTGTCATCAGCTCCCATAAGACTCCATTCATCCGAAGGAAGCAGAAAATGTCGTCGTATCAGAAAACAAGGCAAGAATATGAAAGGATAATTGGGGAACGTGCAAGAAAACGAGAGGTGAGGAAATAAAAACTGGCAAATGTATACTCGGTGCGCAAATGCACTTCTTAAGCCCATCAGTATGATGGAATTGTTGTACAGTTTTCAATTTCCTAATGAATCTCCTTTGTGATGCCATTAAAGAAGACTTATGGCATGTAAACATACACATTTTAATCATCCTTTACATTCTTTGGCAAGTGACTGATGCATGCTTTATTATGTGTGTCTGTGTAGGAATTTTTGAAAGGCAAAGCTCAGCGAGAGGAGGCTCTGAAAAAATATAAGGAGAAGAAAATAGCCACATATCAGCTGTTGAAAAGAAAAACCAAGAAAGGTCAGCCCAACCTCAATCTGCATATGGAGATTTTGCTGCAAAAGATTCAAACTCCGTGCAAATAATTCAGTCTCAACCATAAAATGAGACTGTTTAAAGCATTTTAAAGTTAAAATAGACCATCACACAATAAACTCTGCAGTTTGGGTGAGTTTTTTTTTTTTTAACACAAGGATGTGCATACCTTTGTCCTTCACATTAATTCAAAATGTGTCATATATTTGGGTGTTTGTGGAATATTTTTGGAAACAAAATGTAAACTGTGCTGTTGCAGGTCTTAACCTGGCATTGTTGGCATTATTATAATATACAGTCTTAAGCGTTTTTAATAAGATAACAGATTTAGTATTATGAACAGCCTCAACACAGTCATTGGTCAAAAATTTCATTTAGTTATAGAATTACATTTTATGTGTGATTTTATAAGTGTGAATCACATTTAAATTTTTTTGAAATGTTCAAATTTATTGGAGTCTGACCATTATTTATTTGAGGTATTATTTAATTATATTTTAGCTCTCTAACCTGAGAGAAGCTCATCAGCATCTTCATACCCAGAATGCATTTCTTCAGAGATGAGACTCCCTGTTAAAGAAGAGTAGAAAAGTCAGAAACATGTAACAGACTGAATCCTCATTTCCTTTGGATCATGAATCCTTTACATTCTTTGGCAAGTGACTGATGCATGCTTTATTATGTGTGTCTGTGTAGGAATTTTTGAAAGGCAAAGCTCAGCGAGAGGAGGCTCTGAAAAAATATAAGGAGAAGAAAATAGCCACATATCAGTTGTTGAAAAGAAAAACCAAGAAAGGTCAGCCCAACCTCAATCTGCATATGGAGATTTTGCTGCAAAAGATTCTGTTTGCTGTAACCTGCACAGGTAAGTCCAGCGTGCTCTTTGTGGGAGCAGTCAGTGTGGTTTTTCAGGGAGAGAGGACAGTCCCACAGGTGAATCTCATTCCCTCTGCACTCGACTCTGTTCAGCCACACAACACCTTCACCAGCACCAAAGACTGAATTCCCATCAGCCCTCAGTGCTGCTCCACAACCCAGCTGCCTGCAGACCACCTGAGCATCGCTGATGTCCCACTGATCATCACAGACTGAGCCCCACACAGCGTTATGATACACCTCCAGCCTCCCAGAGCACCGGCCCTCCCCTCCACTCAGTCTGAGAGGAACATGATCTAAAACACACACATCAACCAGCACTGACCAGCTTTTGCAACATTCACAACAAAACACACTCAAACTGAAGTTGGATGCCTTTAAAGCGTAATTCATTTCGGAGGTAAATAATATTTGTTAAATTATACAGATATTAATAATTATAATTAATTGACTAGGAAAATACACTGTTTACATTAACAATTAACACCTTTGTTGTAAAAAAACAAAACAAAAAAAACTTACCTGAACACTGTCTCTGGTGAGAAGATGATGAGGTAGAACATGTCAGACGACTCTGAGAAAACTTGTGTGTCTGATCCTCTGAGAATAAAAATTAAGAACAGAAAATTTCATCGCTAATTGAAAACAAATCATTAGTGTGAAAATTGCTAAACATTTAAGCCTCACAAATAATTTTGTCCCTTCAACTTATTTCAGTAGTTTACTCACCACATTAGACATACAGTAAACAGGTATGTACAAAAAAACATGACTATTGAGATCATATTAAACCATTTAAATATCATCCTACCTGAGCATATGATTTTAGCCACTTCATATTCGTTGCATTTATTTTGTTCCCAGGGTAAAGATGGACACTGCCACAGATTTGAATCATGTGGTCGACATTTCACTTCATCCAGCCAGTTAGGAGCTGATTTCACTCTTGCTGTAGAATCAGACAAAACACCAGATCTTCCACAGTTCAGCTCTTGACAGATCAGACTCACAGTGTCTTCATCCATCTGGTTCCAGCACACATTACCCCAGGATCCATTGTAGAAAACCTCCACATTCCCTTCACAGCCTTCAGTTAACCTGATCTCTTTAAACTCTAGATGAAAAAGGTGCATTAAAACAATTCAGTTCAGGTTGTGTTAAACCTAAAATATCACCAAAATAACTGATTAATCCAAGTCTAATGCATGCTGCAAGCACAAAATGCATCTAAAACATGCATCTTTTAATGTTATTAAAATGTTTAATACATAATACCTTGGGAAACATTCATAGTAATATGACTTAATATACATGGATATTTAAAATTATTAAATAATTTACACAAAAAAAAACTAAATTTCATGTTGACATTTATTTTTTGGTAAGTAGCCACGAACTGTACAGTCAGTTATTATTGCAAAACAAACCCCATCAGTGTGATACAAGACCTCTCCACTCCTCATCACACAGGAGTTTAATAATTGCATATTTTGTGGAAAACAATAAAAACATCTTTGATAAAACATGCACACTAGTTTACTGTTTACCCGAGCACACGACTCCTACATCCTCCTTGTGTTGACAGTCATGTTTTCCCCAGCCTGGAGAAGAGCAGCTCCACAGGGACGTCTCATTCCCCTCACACGCCACATCATCCAGCCATATGGGTCCAGAACCAGGACCAAACCAGGCTGGTACCTGCTGGTTACTGAGGGCCACTCCACACTGCAGCTGTCTGCACACCACATGAGCATCTTTAATATCCCAGGAGTCATCACACACTGTCCCCCATGAGCCGCTGTGAAAAACCTCCAGCCTCCCTGCACAGTCTCCCCCAGAACCCACCAGCCTGATGGACCTGCAACCTGATATTCGGAGAATGTAAAACACATTATTGATCATGAACAACTGAAGAATCTGTCCAGATGTTGTTTTTCTCACCAAGGCAGGTGATTGACAGCTGTTGTGTGGAGCTGCAGTTGAGAGTTTGTGGAGAGCTGCAGTTCCCCAGATGAGCTTCACTCCCAGAGCACTGGAAGCCCGTCACACACTCATGACTGTGTTCAGGCCTGGATGAAGAGGAGCCGTAGAAGTTCAGCACAGAGCCACAGCCCAGCTGTCTGCAGACCACAGAGGATTCAGTGAGACTCCAGGAGTCCAGCAGAACTCTCCTCCAGACCTGATGGATGAAAACTTCCACCTCCCCCTCACACTGTCTCTCTCCAGACAACTGCACCAGACCGTCATGAAGAGCTAGAGGGGAACCTGAGTGAAAGATGTGGCATTTTATTAATATATTGCAATGTAACTTATGTATTTAACTTTTGATTTTTCAATGAAGTCCTCTCACTAGAACAGATGACTCCAACATCTCGTCTATGAGAACATTCAGCTCGACTCCATGAAGAGATGGAACATTCTGAGAGTTTTGTTTCATTCCCGTCACAATCAAACACATCAGCCCAGATTTCATCACTTCCCTCTCCAAACCAGTCTGATCCCACAACAGAGACAGCAATCCCACAATTCAGCTGTCTACAGAGGACACTGGCAGCTCTCATATCCCAGCATGCATCACACACTGTGCCCCATTTACTGAAGTACTGACGTTCAACTCGACCAGAACAGATGTCAGGGCCGTTTACCAGTCTGAGATCGGTGTAACCTTGACAGAGAATTGAGGGTTTAGTGAAGCAGTTTGAAATAGTTTGTAAGCAAAAGATAGATTACATTTTAATATTAAGTTATTAAATATTAAAAATACTTCTACCAGAACATGACAGTCCTACAGCATTCTCATGGGTACAGTTGTGTTTGAGAGAAGATGTTGGACAGACAGATATGTAAGATTCATTTCCTCTGCACTGAATCTCTTGTGTCCACATCTGAGCATCTCCTTTGCCAAAAGCAGCTGCTCCCAGCACCTGTACAGGAGCCCCACAGTCCAGCTCTCTACACACAACCTCTGCATCCTGCTGGTCAAAGGTAGCGTCACACACTGAAAGTCGTGTGTTCGCATGAAGTATCTCTAATCTCCCAGAGCAGCGAGAACCTCCAACCAGCCTGACACCTAGAAAGATGGGTATTTATAACTTTCAGATTTTCTAATTGTGATCCTCACAAGCATGCTAACACATAAGTAATTATGATGTACAAAAATAATCATTAGGCCATCTTATTGGCAAACTTATATCAGGATTGAAATACAATATTAAGTAAAAATTTGCATTCATCTTGGTATTCGAAAACATAAATTGCACATTAGAACAGTAGTGGGGGTTTTTTTAAAGAAAGAAAAAGAAAAAAAGAACAGTAGTGGCTTATGACCACATAGCCAGGGCAGATAGTGAAAAAACACATGCGCTGTTATTTCATGCCTTTTTTTCTCTCTTTTTTTTTTTACATAAAATATGTTCAGAAATGTGATTTTGACTTGATATTGTATAGATATTGAATTGATATTGTTTCCGACACGACTACACACAAGAGATGTTTGGAGTGATAAAGACCCCAACTGACAACAATTAATTTTCACATGCTTTGTCTCTGTTTATAATGAAGGTATAATTCATCAATAAAAAATGTCCACAAACGACACACACAATATCTTTCTCTTCTTCTCGCTCTTTCACTCACACACACATAACCCTAACCCTACCCCTAAACTTACCCATCACAGAAAACTTTCAGCATTTTTAGATTTTCTAAAAAAAAAAAACTGTTTAGTACATTTTTTAAACCATTTGGTTGAGGACACAGGAAGTGTGTTAGCATTGTAATAACTATGTCATAATACACATTTGTGTCCTCATTAGCCATATAAACCTGTACACACACACTCAATTCAATTCAGTTCAATTCAATTCAAAAAGCTTTACTGGCAAGACTGTAATTAATACAATATTGCCAAAGCGTAGAATAATGTATTTCATCACATGAATAAATAAATACATTCATTCATTCATAAATAAAATAAATTAATTAAAATAAATAAATAAACAAAGCAGGGCCCGTATTCACAAAACATTTTATCTTACCACTAAGAGTTCTCCGAAATAACAGTAAAAAAAAAAAATACCATTAAATACCATTCACAAAGCTGTTGAGACAAACTTTTACTAAGGAATAGAGAGAAGTCTTAAGCTAAGAGTAAGGGTGGGGTTGACCTCGTTGCTGAAGATGATGTCAGCATGCTTACTAATTATGCATGGGGTGGGGGTCTCTCTCAGAGATTTATTCAAAGAAATATTGTAGAGCACAATATTATGTTGCCATATTTAAATAAAGGTTTACAAATAAAAATGTTAATTGCCACGTTCAAATACAATTTTAAACAAGTATAGTGCATATGTTGCAGCCTGATACTACAATTGTTTAAAAAAAAAAATTCTCATTAATCTACACTCTGTACCTCATAATGACAAAGTGAAAATATAATTTTTGAAATGTCTATAAATTTATTAAAAAGAAAAAACTGAAATATCACATTTACATAAGTATTCAGCAAAAACTTGAAATTTAGCTCAGGTGCCTCCCATTTCTTTTAATCATTGCTGAGATGTTTCTACACCTTGATTGGAGTCCACCTGTGGTAAATTAAATCGATTGGACATGATTTGGAAAGGCACACACCTCTCTATTAAAGGCCTTTACAGCTGACAATGCATATCAGAGCGAAAACTAAGCCATGAGGTCAAAGAAAAAAAGAACTGCCTGCAGAGCTAAGAGACAGGACTGTATCGAGGCACAGATCAGGGGAAGGCTACAAAAAAAATTCTGCTGCACTGAAGGTTCCCAAGAGCACAGCGCCTTCCATCATTTTCAAATGAAAGAAGTTTGGCACAACCAGGACTCTTCAAAGAGCTGGTCGCCCAGACAAACTGAGCAATTGATGGAGAAGGGCCTTGTCTAGACTGGTGACCAAGAACCTGATGGTTAAGCTCCATTATCATATAAGCAGATGGGAGAAACCTACAGAAGGACAAACATCACTGCAATACAATCCTCTCCTCAGTGAAGACACGTGAAAACACACTTGGAAATTGAAAAACAGCACCTAAAGGACCCTCAGACTCTGAGTAACAAGATTATCTGGTCTGAGGAACCTCAAATCTAAGCATCATGTTTGAAGGAAACCAGCTCTGCTCATCACCTGCAGAGTACCATCCCAAAAGTAAAGTGTCCTGGTAGCAGCTGTGGGACTGTTTTTCAGTGGCAGGGACTGGGAGACTGGTCAGGATTGAGGGAACGCTGAATGGAGCAAAGTACAGAGTTATCCTCAATGAAAACCTGTTCCACCGCACTCAGGACCTCAGACTGGGCAGAAGGTTCACCTTCCAGCATGACAATGACCCTAAGCACATAGTCAAGGTAACACAGGAGTGGCTTAGGGACAACTATGTGAATGTCCTAGAGTGGCCCAGCCAGAGCCCTGACTTGAACCCTATCAAACATCTCTGGAGAGACCTTAAAATGGCTGGTCCCCTCCCCATCTAACCTGACCACGCTTGAGAGGATTTGCAAAGAATAATGGCAGAAAATCCGCCAATCCAGGTGTGCAAAGCTTGTTGCGTCATACCCAAAAAGACTCGAGGCTGTAATTGCTGCCAAACGTGCTTCAACTAAGTACTGAGTAAAGGGTTGGAATACTTATGTCAATGTGATATTTCAGTCAGAATATTTTCAGTCAGACATTTATAAAATTCTGTTTTCACTTTGTCATTATGAGGTACGGAGTGTAAATTAATGAGAAAAAAAAACGAATTTAAACAATTGTAGTATCAGGCTGCAACATAACAAAATTGAAAAAAGTGAAGGGGGTCTGAATACTTTCTGAATGCACTGTATATGTTCAGCTATTTGTCAGCCTCTTACATGTATGCTTCTCGTAAACAATTAGTGAATGCATATAAACAGCCTTTTAATTAACAGAGTAGAATAATAATGGCTGATAGTAAGACATGCAAACGTAAAAGAAAACAAAACTGGACGGAAGAACAGCTGTTACTTCTTGCCCAACTGGTTAAAACAAGGATATAATCAAAGGAAAATTTGAAGTTGGGATAACCTTCAAAACGCGATACCTTTTTAAAAGCTCATTATCGTCTGTATAAAATGTTTACTTTCTGAGGCAGATTACTGGCAACAGCAATTTTAGGATAGTTTGTAGTTTGGTCTTACTGACTTAGGAGTCCTTTTCACTACTCCTAACGTTTCACAGATTTAGGAGCTAGTTTTAGCGCTAAAACGCTTTGTGAAATACTCTTAGAGCAAAAATTTAGGAGTCCTAAATTTAGGACTGACACGCCCATTATTTTTAAGATTTTCTCCTAAATCAGCGAGTTATGAGTTACTTTTAGCCTTAAGATGTTTTGTGAATACGGGCCCAGATCTCAAAAACATCACGCAACAACTCAAACATCACACAATTCTGCCTTAAGACTTCAATGGCACTCTAATGATGACTAGCATATTGTTAATTTTTCTAATATTTTTATTTTATTTATTTTTGGACATTTACATGAACTATTTTTATGTCTGGCTTATGAGAACCAAGTTGTTTGGTTGCCAATTTGTCTTGAATTTGCAATTGCTCAAATTGAGTTTGCAATGAAATGAAAAGCTGTTGCACACTCATTAATGCTCATTGCTCACCAGGTTGTGGGGCAGTTGTGATCTGATGGTTAGAGAGTCAGATCTGCAACTCGAAGGTTGTGGGGCAGTTGTGATCTGATGGTTAGAGAGTCAGAACCAAGTTGTTTGGTTGCCAATTTGTCTTGAATTTGCAATTGCTCAAATTGAGTTTGCAATGAAATGAAAAGCTGTTGCACACTCATTAATGCTCATTGCTCACCAGGTTGTGGGGCAGTTGTGATCTGATGGTTAGAGAGTCAGACCTGCAACTCGAAGGTTGTGGGGCAGTTGTGATCTGATGGTTAGAGAGTCAGACCTGCAACTCGAAGGTTGTGGGTTTGATTCTCAGTACTGGCAGGAAATGTAGGTGGGGAGCGAATGAACAACGTTCTTTTGCACACTCAATACAATATGAGGTGCCTTTGAGCAAGTAACTGCAGCAAAAATGGCTGCCCACTGCTCCGGGTGTGTGTCCACGGCTTTAGTGTGTGTGTGTGTGTGTGTGTAATACTCAATGCTGTGTGTGTGCACTAACTTGTATGGGATAAATTCAGAGGACAAATTCTGAATATGGGTTACCCTCCCGTCACTTCAAGCACCATTGTTTGTCTAGGAGAGCTTACCAGAGCAGATGACCCCAGCATCATCAGCATGATTAGCCGTATGTTTTCCCCAGTTATGTGATCCACAGTCCTTCAGTGCAGATTCTTCTCCATTACACATCACATCAATAATCCAGACTGGTCCTTTCCCCTGGCCAAAGTGGGCATGCTTAGGTGCAGCTACAGCCTCTCCACAGCCCAGCTCTCTACACACCACTGCAGCATCAGCCAAATCCCAACCGAGGTCACCTACTGTTCCCCAACGACCATCATGAAAAACCTCCACTCTACCAGCACAGGAACTACCACCACCATCTAATCTTAATGTTTCTGAAAGAGAGGACATACACAAGAAATAAGGAGAAAGAGAGGAAATAAATTTCGCATGACACTATAAATGGTTTGTTATGCTTTGAATCAAAGTCGTTTTGTGTTTGCCTACCAGCACACACCACTCCCGTATTATAGTTATGGGAACAATTGCTGTGTGAAGATGATACTGGACAGAGAGCAAACTGATATTCATTTCCTCTGCACTGAATCTCTTGTGTCATCATCTGAGCGTCTCCTTTGCCAAAAGCAGCTGCTCCCAGCACCTGTACAGGAGCCCCACAGCCCAGCTCTCTACACACAACCTCTGCATCCTGCTGGTCAAAGGCAGCATCACACACTGTGTGCCATGTGTTCCCATGAGGCACCTCTAACCTCCCAGAGCAGAGAGAACCTCCAACCAGCCTGATGCCTGAAATTATAGTGATGACAAACCATTTAAAACATCGTAACATAAAACATGTTACAGTGTGGGAAAACTGTTAGTTAATAGTTCATATATTTTCCCTAATCTAAAGTGTTACCAATGTTACATATGAAATTAAATCAAGTCTGTTGATTCAGGTCATGCATGTACTGTTATTAAACATGTATTAACCCAATCACAATTCAAATCATAAACCAACATTTTTACTTCAAATTTGTTTGAAATTTGTTATTGTCATGTACTGTAGATCTTTTATATGTACAACTTCTATTGAGTGTGGTGATCCTAGATTGATCAAATGTTCAGCGAATTTTCCCACAGGTCAACACTAATTGGTTGATGGTTCTCTCACCCAGTATTACATCACTCCTTAGTCGAATGGTTCGAAATCTAATTTTGAAACTCTTCTTAGTACATGCATGTTTTTAATATAGTTAGTAATGGTGCTTTTGATGATGAAAGCTAGACAGAAAATCAACCTACCTGAGCAAATAACTCCAACATCTTCATTATGCTTACAGTTATGGTTACCCATTGTTGCTTTTGGGCATTTGAATATTGAGGACTCCAACCCTCTACATCTCACATTATCCATCCATATTTTTCCTGATCCTGGTCCAAAGTAAGCAACACGCATTATATTTGAAGTATCACCACAGCCCAGCTCTCTACACACGACTGCAGTGTTTGCCAAATACCAGTAATCATCACACACGGTTCCCCATTCTTTTTTATAATAAACCTCCACCCTACCAGCACAGGAATTACTACCATCCACCAGCCTCACATTACCTGTAGACAAGATATAGCAAGATGTACATCAAATGTATATGTGAGACGATGGACATCAACATACAGTATATTGAGAAAGAGAGGAATAGAGAAAATGACCATGAGAGAAGGAAATTCACTTCTATATTAATGCAAATATTACACATACACAAATCGAACTATAAATTATATTATGACGAATTCATAACACTATAACAGAGTCAATCACTGCATAACATGAACACAAACCCTGAATGTGTACGTACCAGCTGCAGTAAGTCTGATCAGAGAAGACAAAAAAATGAGAGTTAGATAACGCTCCATCTTTACTGATTATTCACTCTGATCAACTCAGAACTAACAGGTTCATGAGAGACAGAGACAGAAGTCTTCACAACCACTAAACAAGAAGCCAATCAAAGACACTTTTACCTTATTAGACAGAAGAGAGGAAATCATCAAAAAGTTTCATTGACAAATCAGAAGACGTATTTATGATTCTCACCATATTTATTAAAAGCACGCTTCATTGTTGAATAAAGCCTTTGTCAAGTTTGGGCTGACACTGAGGCTGAGAATCCTGAGATAACTTGACAGACAGTATTTAAATAGCATTGAGTCATTAATCAAATATGTAATAGAATTACTAATTACATATATAGCCCTATATTCTTTAAAAAGGATTTGCTGTGCAGTCAGCTTGATGGTGTTCCCAAAATATATCATCTAACCTGAGAGAAGCTCATCAGTGTTTTCATATCCAGAATGCAGTTCTTCAGAGATGAGACTCCCTGTTAAAGGAGATCAGAACAGTCAGAAACACGTTCATCATTACAAACAGACTGAATCCTTATTTCCTTAGGATCATAAAATATTGTGGATAGATAGTCTCTGTGGTTTTCTGTCAGGAATTCTGTGAAGCAGGAGGTTTAACAGGACTAATAATAAAGGAACATCAACTGTCTGACAGACTATTAATGGTATTAAATGAGATTCATGGCTCATGTTTCACCCCTCTGAGTGAAGTGATTGTGTCTGTGCTGAATCTCCTCATAAACAGCCTCAGTCGTCATCCTGTGTCTCCTCTTAGAGAGAGCTGTGAGTGTAGACAGACAAACCTGCTGTCAGTTCACAACACATGACTGATCACACACTGAATAAGACACAATATGACAGTCTCTGGATCTCTCCTACCTCTCCTCATCACTCTGTTCTGCTGAATCAGTATAAGCAGTGGCACTAAGAGCAGTAAGAGCACAACTCCCAGAACAATCACAAGCACTGGGGGGAGGGGGGGGAGACGCTGCTAGAGGAGTTTGTGGAGGAGAGACTGATGTTGAGCGCACTGGAGGAGAAACTGTTGTTGTGGCAGGAGTACTGGTCATTGATAAATTTGTGAAAACGGACACAAACACATTCAAAATCACACTCTAAAAACTGCTGGGTTGTTTCAACCCAACTTTGGGTCAAATATGGACTAACCCAGCTGTTGGGTTAAATTTTTTAATTACATTTTTAACCCAAAAGATGGGTTAGTCCATATTTGACCCAAAGTTGGGTTGAATCAGCCCAGCATTTTTTAGAGTGCATGATTATCCTGAATACTCAAAGGGTATAGAACAGAAAATAATTAATCTAAAATTTTTCCTGTGACCTGCACAGGCAAGTCCAGCGTGCTCTTTTTGGGAGCAGTCAGTGTGGTTTTTCAGGGAGAGAGGACAGTCCCACAGGTGAATCTCATTCCCTCTGCACTCGACTCTGTTCAGCCACACAACACCTTCACCAGCACCAAAGACTGAATTCCCATCAGCCCTCAGTGCTGCTCCACAACCCAGCTGCCAGCAGACCACCTGAGCATCTCTGATGTCCCACTGATCATCACAGACTGAGCCCCACACAGCATTATGATACACCTCCAGCCTCCCAGAGCACCGGCCCTCTCCTCCACTCAGTCTGAGAGGAACATGATCTAAAACACACACATCAACCAGCACTGACCAGCTTCAGCACAACATTTACAACAAAACACACTGAAACTGAATGCATTTCTTTACATAATTTATTAGGAATATAAGGCATACATTAACTAAAATTTAACAAATTTGTTGTCAAAAACTTACTTGAACACTGTTTCTGTTGAGGAGATGGAAAGACAAAGCATGTCAGATGACTCAGAGGAGACTCATGATACTCCTCCTCTGAGATTAAAACATGAAGAGAACATTAGGATAAAAGACACATACTGTAACATATCACGTTGAAACACATCAGTGTGAAAATATATCATTTATGCCTCAAATCATTAATTTAATTCCTTTAGCTCAGGTTTCTTTTTATGAAGTATTAGTTTACTCACCACATTTGATATAAACACTGGGCCTCACTCATGAAACATTTGTAAATAAATGAGTAAATTCTGAGTAATTTGCGAGTAAAACAGACCTTCCCGAAAACTCTCCTCTGGATTCACAAACGCTTCTTAAACATCAGATTTAATAGTTAAACATGTGTATGTGAATGAATTCCAATCATTCGTAAATAGGGCGCTCGTGCACACTCATTCACAAATATAGCTGCAAGCAGAGATCTCGGGCCCAAGCCCCCAGAGCCAATGCCATCCCGGTGGCTTTAGGGAAACTGTGCACGGTGGGAAATAAGCAGTTAGAGCAGACAAATATCAAAGGACTAAGTCAAAGTCATTTAAATAAGCCACATTTACTGCACCCAGCTGTTGTCAGTATGACTGATAACCACAACAGTCACATTCATGAGGTGATGTACATTCAGATGAATGTCATGTCACAGGATGTCATAGGTCAGTATCAAATGAGTGTCAAATTATTTGCAGCACAAAAAATTATAAATCCACATGTATGTATCTTTAGATCTTTTTATGTTGTAACTAACATAATTATTAATCTAATTACATAAAATTATTTTTGTCCCTAAAACTAACAGGTATTTCTTAAGCTGTAATGCAGGCAAAATCACACAGATATAAATGAATAGACCTTTAAACCATGAAGAGTTTAAATAGACCCTCTTGCTCTCTCTCTCTCTCTCTCTCTCTCTCTCTCTCACCCAAACACCTACCCACCCCCACACTCAACACACACCCACCCCCCAACCCCACACACAGAGAGGTAGAATGAGATCAGATGTCTGAAAGTTTTACAATAGAGCATTGTAAATTCATAAAACTAAGCATGTTTCCTCAGAATGACTTGCTCTCCATAAGTAAACAGTTTTAAAGAGTTTGGATAATGCACTTTAAAGATATAAAAAAATACTGTTTTTACTGTCACTTTAATAAATCACCATGGCAACACCGTTCAAGATATCCCAATTCTGTTTGCAATTTAAGTTTCTCAATGTTTTGCAATCATGTTGACAAAGTTTGGTGTAAATTCCATGATTTTCATAGGACTAGTATGCATTAATTCACAGCTTGATTTTTCCAAAAATCCACATTCAAATAAAAATATCTCACTTCCTGTTGGTCGTAGCTAATGACTGTAAATTAGAAAGTTGTCTGGCTTTATGAGAACAATATATAGGCCGAGTTTGGTGACTGTAGAAAAAATTAACCCCCACACTTTTGTCAAAAGGTGGCGCTATAGAGTGATTTATCAATGATCCCTTCATAGTTTTACATCGGCCATATTTTTACCTTATTCTGATGAAGTTTGAAGCAAATCGGGTAAATATAAGAGGGTGCATTCAAAGCGTTTGAAAAACTAACACACTTCCTGCTGCCAGTTGGTGGCGCTATGACCGAAACTCATTATAGTCACATGTATGTGATCGGACTCCTTGAACAAATAAACTGCTGAAGTTTGTTCAAAATCAGACGAAATATGCAAAAGTTATTAGACACTTCCTGTTTCTCATTTCTCACCATAATTTCAGCTCCTCGCCACGGCCAAACCGTTCGAGATATCACAATTTAGCATCCCCAATGTCTTGAGGTCATGCTGACCGAGTTTGGTGGCAATCGGGTAAAATACCTAGGACGAGTATATCAAATTCTAGTGCATGCGATTTTCACAAAATCCTGAATAACCAACTTCCTGTTGGGCGGAGCCTATGACATGCAGTGTGTAAGTTGTTTGGCTCGATGAGATCTATATGTATACATGCAAGTGTGTATGATTTATGGGCCTCCGTATTTCAGGGGGTGCTGTAGAGCCACTCTGCCACGCCCGTGTATCAGTCTCTACCCGGCCCTAATGGCCGCAGATACCAAGGTTTTTGAGCATGTTAAGGGCCCCAAAAACCTTGACAAAAATAAAAACTAAGAAATATAGCTGCAAGCAGCGATGGCGGGCCCAAGCCATCAGTGCAAAAGCTACCCCGGTTGCACCAGGAAAACTGTGCAAAGCGGGCACATGCATTTACGGTAACCCTCTGTCAGTCTGGTTTTAAAGGTGTCATATGATGCGATTTCAAGTTTTCCTTTCTCTTTGGAGTGTTACAAGCTGTTTGTGAATAGATAAGATCCCTAAAGTTGCAAAGACTAAAGTCTCAAACCCAAAGAGATATTCTTTATAAAAGGACGAGGACTGTTAACTGGGAGAGTAGCCTACAATGCCGGTTTTCTAACAAATAATGCTGACTCACAGCCTGTAAGTACGTTTCCATATTTAAAGATTTTGCCACTGACGATTCAAACACGAGTTTTGAGCAGTGTAGAGTAGCACTTGTTGTTTGTACGCGTAAAAAGACAGTATAAGTCATTATAATCAGTAATTATGTCCCCACTGGATGCTACAAATGCCTCGTTTGTAATGGGTTTTATTGGTTTTGTCTCGTCGCACCGGGACACGGCATCACAGTATGGTAAGAGCCGTAACATTTCCGTCACACGCTTGAAGGATTCAGCCAATCACAACACACTGGATAGCTGGCCAATCAGTGTACACCTCGCTTTTCAAAACGATAAGCTTTGTAAAAATTGACGCGTTTCAGAAAGGCGGGGCATAGAGGAGAAACAATAATGTACAGTATGTGGAAAATAATGTTTTTTGAACCTTAAACTGCATAAACACATTTCATTACACCAAATACACAAAATAATGTTCTTTTTTAGCAACGTCATATTAACCCTTTAAGGGATAAAGCAATGAAAGGGTTACTCTATAACTTTAAGATTTCGAAACACACACACAGATAAAAAAGTTGTACAAATATATTGTTCATTGTTAGTCCATGTTAGTTATTGCATTAACTTATGTTAACAAATGAGACCTTATTGAAAAGTGTTACCAAAACCTTTACTTATCTATAAGCATTTTTTTAGCGATTTTAAGGATCTATAAGCATTT